GGAGCAGCTCAGAGGAGACCTCCAGTACATTTGTCAGAGTTTCCTGTTCACAGGTTTTCACCTCTTGAGATGGCTATCCTTGCATCCTTTTATCTGGGAGTGCTTCACTGCTGTATTGTCTCTAACCCTCGGCTGTAATGTTGGACCCTCTGGTGGGTGTTTTTAAAGCAGTGGCTGTGAACCCATGACAGTTAATTGATGCAGTTCACTGAGAAACTCCCCCTTCCCTGTGGTTCCACTGGGACTGGCAAGGCTTCTCCTAGGCACTGTGTCTTATACCCTATCTGACATCCTTCAGTGAGTGGTCCTTAGCTGGCTAGTGCACAAGGTTTTGCCTGGTTCTTTCATAATGTTGTCCTCCTGTGATGCCTTCCACAGAAAAGATCAGTGGAGGACCTGAAGGAACGATATTACCACATCTGTGCCAAGCTGGCTAATATTCGTGCAGCTCCAGGTACAGACCTGAAAATCCCAGTCTTCGATGCTGGCCATGAGAGGCGAAGGAAGGAACAACTGGAAAGGCTGTACAATAGGACACCAGAGCAGGTAACCTGAGGAAGAGAGCATCACTGCTCCAAAAGATTTATGATAAGTTGAATCAGTAGGTGGATGAAATAGGCCAGAGGGTGGGAAAGGGAAAGAAAGATTGGACAAGAAAAGAGCGACACCTAAGTACTGCTTTTGTTGTTGAGTTCATGTCTTTTTAAGGGGTACAAAAGGACAATAACTGAGAAGTCTGACTGTACAGGAAGAGGGCTAGGTGAGCAGGGTTATGGTCTCTGGTAACTGCCAACACCACCTCCGTGACACTTGCTGTACTAGTCCTCTGGATAGAAACAAATTCTCAGATCAATGTTCTTATGAGTCCCTGAGTTCCATGGGGAGAGAATTATTTCCTTTAGAGTAAAAATCTTGCCAGAAAACATCAAAGACTGTAAATCTGCATGTTTACTTCTCCTCTTTGTTGAAGCTGTGTAACGGTCCCAGGGTTTAGAGGTTAAGGAACTGTGTGTTCCCCAAAGGCTGGGGGAGAGCATCCTTTTCTGTTAGTAGTTCCCTTTAATGACAAGTTCACATGTGTAATGACTCTGCTTGTCCTTCCCACATTGACAGGTGTGCTGATACTAGGCATAGTTGCTCTAAGTTCTACATACTATGTCTGGGGAGGGGAGCCAGCTTTTCACAGCACTACATTTGCAACTACAGTATTATTTGGGCTTTTTTACTCTTCTGTCTGTGCTCTTGGCCTCTTGTCTGGAGGAGGGATTGATCACTTATGGGTGCTGCTGAAGGGTGCATCATGGATGTTGCGACACAGTACCTGCCAGTTTGTAGACTGGCATTGCCATGGATGCAGGGTTAGGCTATGGAAGATAATGTGCTCTGCAAATCCAAGTCCTCTGCAGCATATTAGGCAGGGGAGCTTAAAGGCATTCCCAGGCTGGCCCAGAGCAGAGTTGTTATCGGTAGATGGCCCTCTTGTCTTGCTAGGCCTCCTCTGCTGCTCTGATTGCCTTTCTGCGCTCTGGTCTGCAGGTGGCAGAAGAAGAATACCTCATCCAGGAGCTCCGCAAAATCGAAACCAGGAAGAAAGAGAGAGAAAAGAGAACCCAAGACCTGCAGAAACTCATCACAGCTGCTGACACCACCACTGAGCAGAGACGTGCCGAGCGCAAGGCTCCCAAGAAGAAGCTGCCACAGAAAAAGGAGACAGAGAAGCCTGTAAATATTTCTCTTTTTTTCCCCTGCTTTATGTTTTTCCTTCAACAATCTAGTGGGATCAGGGCCTCAGCTTTTTAGAGGGAAGCAGCTGCTGGCTGCCTTCTGGCAGATGTGTTTTCGGTTACGTCTTTTGGAAGGCAGAATGGTCTAAGGCAGCCATTGTCAGAATCCTCTGGTGTGCTTTCTGTCTCTCTCCCATTTGAAAAATGCTGGTTTAAGTTCTCTTT